AGAGTTCAGTTCTCTCCAATCTCACAGCAGTGCAGAATGAGAGACAGACCAGGAGTTTTTCTTTGCATTTTTCACTGGTTTTCCTTGTTAGCCAAAGCAAAAAAGGTTTTCCCAGGATTGTGGGGTTTTTTTTCCCTCTCTGGAACTGTTTGGTTTTCCTATGGTCCAGGACACCAGGACAATCACTCAAAAGCTGCACACTGAGCCTGGATGCCAGGCTGAGCTTGGAGACACTGAGTCACACCTGCAGAAGGAGTCTCTCTGAACCACAAAAATGGTCTCTGAATTTTCCATCACTTCAGGGCAAGTGAAGGCTTCATTGTTTTAATTTTTGTTTAATTTTGTTTGGTTTAATTTTGTTAATAATTTTATTTATTTATTTATTTTTAATGTCTTTGAGTACTTTGCTTGTGAAGCAAACAAAGGCTTTTTCCACTTTTCTCCAAGGAGATTTTTCTCCTGAACCAGTTGGGGGAGGGACTGCTGGAATTTGTTTTTTAGAGGAGACCCCTTAGGGAAGTTTCCTCCCAGATCTGTCCCAAACCAGGACAAATATTTTGGCGCCCAACACGTGGCTCCAGAAAGTGGAAAAAGCCTGTACTGATTGCATTTTGGTTTCACTTACTCTGTATTGGAATTAAGCAATAGTTTATAATGTCTCTCTACTCCCTAGGCCTGTTTGGGGTGTTAACACCTTTCTGGTCCCTAGGATGTTTTCCTATCCAGAGAGCTCCAGTATTGTCCCTGGCATGCAGAGGGGCATGGATTAGAGTAGCTCTTTTGCTGGGTGTGGTGATAATGATTTATAGGGAGTTAACAAAGGTGCTGGGGTTTGTTAGAATGGTTTATTGTTTCTTTGCCCTACCCCATGTTCTAGTTTCAGTGCATGTTTTGGGGGCTTATTAGTAATTGCAATCAGTTTGTTAGAGGAGGAGCAGGGTTCCCGGCCTTTTCTTTCCTTCTTCTCCTTTAAATCTGTTATGTCACTTTTGGAAAATGTTGTTTCCCCTGGATGTCAAGGAAATACCACCTTACTGGTGTTTCATGTGGTAAGCTTCCTCTATAGGGTTTGCAGCTTGTCTAGAATGAGGGCTGAGATGTCCAGAGGGGCTGATCTGACCCACACGTGGACCATTTACACATTTACAGTTGTGTAAAACACTGAGTGATGGGGGGAATGGGAGAGAACAGACCAGACCCTGATGGAATTTTCTAAACCTATAGCCTGGGAATTTCCTCATGAACAGATTCAGAACCCAGATGAAGTAGGGAAGTATCTGGAAGAGAAGTGCCATGACGACTCTAAGGAGAAAAATCTCATTGCAATAAGCTGGGCCCTGGTGTATGCTTTTTGCATGCTGCTAGATGCTGTAGGGAAGGGAGATAAATCAGCAGCTACCCCAGTCACTCAGGCTGCAGCCAAGCCAGACAGTGAGCCCAAGCCAGTGTCTGCTGCTCCTACGACGAGAGGCATGAAATTCAAAACCAAAACCTATCGGGCAGTAGATGACGATGGTGATGCGGGGGAAGGACCCTCAAGACCAGCAACTGGCCAAAAATCAGAAGGCACTGGTGAGCCTTTCTCCCTGAAGGACCTTTGTGGCCTGAGAAAGGATTACACTCAATGACCTGATGAATCTATAATTAGTTGGTTAGTCCGTCTGTGAGATGCTGCAGGTGAAGCTACAGTTCTGGATGGCACTGAAGCGAGGCATCTGGGATCCCTGTCACACGATCCGGTTATTGACCAGGGGATGATGAGGGGGGCTGACCCTTATAGTCTCTGGGAACGGGTCCTGGGAAGTGTGACACAAAGATATCTGTGTGCAGATGATCTCTATATGCAGAAAACTCCTTAGAAGATCATAGAACAAGGGATTCAGTGCTTGAGAGAAATGGCAATAGTTAGAGATTGTCTTTTTGGATGACCTAGACACTAGGAATCCAGACTTGGTACCATGTACATCCGTGATGTGGCAAAAATTTGTATGACTTGAGCCACAAGAATATGCATTTGCTTTAGCAATGATGAAGCGAGATGACAGAGATGAGACCGTGCTGGATATGGCAAAGAAGCTCTGTGCATATGCAGATGCCGTGCATGGCCCCACACATGCAAGAATCGCAGCTGTGGAAACACATCTGCAGAAATTCGAAGACAAGATGGAGGAGAATCACAAGAAACTCAGGGAGGAGATCAAAGAGGGCTTTCTCCAAATCTCTGCAGTACAGATGAGAAGTTCTGTACCAAACACAGAAGTCACCCAGACAGGGAGAGAAGGAACACCCCACGAGCTGTGGTTCTTCCTGCATGACTGTGGGGAAAACATCAGGAGGTGGGATGGAAGACTCACAGCTGCTCTGGCACAACAGGTACGTGAACTGAAGGAGGACAAGACTCAGAGAGGAAGTTCCACCATAAAGAAATCGGCTCCAGTAGCCTGAAGCCAAACTGCCATGTATGATGATGATGATGCTGATGATGATATGTCTGATGCCCTTGAAGGAACCTCCGTATGTCCAGGGAAAAGAAGGATAACCAGGTTTAGAGGGGCCCTGCCTCTAGCCAGGTAGAGGTCAGGGAAAACCGTGTCTTTTGGACTGTGTGGATTCATTGGCCTGGCACATCAGAACCACGAAATACAAGACCTTGGTCAACATTGGTGCGCAGTGCACGCTAATCCTACCAAGACATGTGGGGGCAGAATCTGTTCCTATTGCTGGCCTGACAGGGGGACCAAAGGTTTTGACTTTGGTGGAACTTCCTCTCTTCCAGAAGCAGTTGCTAATGCAGCTGGAATGTTATTTGCTATTTTTATAATATTTTTTAACAAAGACAGTACCTCACTGATGCTTTAGAGCTAGCACTGAAGCTTCAGCATCCCTGAAATTAGGTTAGCCAAATGTGTTTTGGTAAAAAGAACAGTGCCTCATACTCAAGTAAAACACTATGTGGGTGGACTATAGTGAAATCCTGTATTTCACAATATTTTAACTCAAAACCCAGCTGCAGTAAAATTTCAGCTTGCAGCGCTAAAAAAAACAAAAAAAAAGCTGTAACCACAATGAAGTGTGACAAGTTTCAAGGCTAAAGCAAAACACAGTTCATTGTGCCAGCTATTCTGAGCTGCAGATGACTATCAAACCCCCAAACTTCACACCCTCCCACTTCAACATGAAAAAAGTTGGACACATGAAAACAAAGAGCTTGATGAAGTATAGTAGTTGTGATTTCTAGCTGAGTGTTAATTAGTTTAAACCTATTATTCTTAAACATCTTAGCTGACTACTTTGATAGCATCAGAGAACCTCTTAAGGCAGATATTTATATTTACTTTATGCACTTAAAACAGGCTCCTTGGCCAACAGCCTATGCTACCAGACAGCCAAATTCAGATTTTACCTCTCCCTGTCAATTTTATACGAAGTCTGAAGTTAAATTATTTACTCTCCTTGCCTGCAATTGGCCTCAAGGAGGTCAAGATCTGGTTAAACACAATGTCCTGTAATAAAATCAAGAGAACACTACAGCTCTCATGGTGTTCCAGATTTGTATAGCACCACCTAAAGTCAAAGGACTCCACACAAGGTGCTGAAATGTGAGTAGAGAATGCCTGTTGCAGGGATCTTGCCACCAAGAAAGGAGCCACGTGCAAAAGGAAGGGGGAAACATGCAGAAATAATGACGCTCTACAATCAGTTCTCACAGTTTAAAGAGGCCAAAGTCCATGCATTTGACATGGTTATCAAAGCCAACCCTGGGACAACTTATAAATTAAATCAAGTTTTTCTTTGGAGGAAGGGTTCTGAAAAGTCAACTCCATGACTCCCAAGCTGCCAAAAGGCACCTCCAAAATAATTTTTAGGCTTGGATGTTTACATCAACCACCTTGTGCTGTTGTCACTAGATTAGTAACAAGAGAGATCGGAACCCTAGTTCATGGAATTAAAGTCGATGCTTACACAAAGTTTGTACAGAATTTTTCCAGCTCTGTGATACAGATAACCAGCTGCCTCCCCATACTTTACTGAGAGCATCTCTGCATGAGTACTTGCTAGGTGATTTTTTGTTTTTTGCAAAATAGCCTCATTAAAAAAAAAAATTCACTTTATTTGTATTTTGGTCATCAGTACTTTGACTGGCAGAAGAGGAGAGTGAGGAAGTCACATTCCTTATATACCACGGGCATTCTGCATCAAGATGCTGGGGTCATCCGCATGGTTTTGAAGAAGAGCAGAACAGCAGTGGGGTAAGTCAGGCACTGGATTAAGAAACAGGAGTAAGTTAAAGTTAGTCAAGAACTGCCACAGGCATTTAAATGAAACATAGACAAGTAAACATTACAAACAGGTAAGTTCCCTCGTGCCTCTAAGACACAGCTGGAACAGCAATGACAGGAGAACATTTCAGTGGTACTAGCAGAAGTCAGAAACAGTGACTTCAACGGAGCCCAGAATGGCCCTGCACCACAGGCAGTGTCTGCAGGGTCCTGGCACTCTCCTTGCAAGTACTCACCCTGACAAGAGGCAGTCAAGGTCACTGCAGTGCTCAAGGCAAAGCAACTAACACTGCCACAGGTGAAAGGCATATTCAGAAATCCACAGCAAGGAGACCACTGAATTAGGCCACCCAACTGATTCAAGCTGCAACCTGCTCAAAAATGTCAGTCTGACCCAGACAAGTTGCTCTTATCTGTCTCACAGGTGAAAGTAAACACCTGAGACAGTAGGATGCAATTTGATTGTGGCAAGGAAAAACAACTGCTTTAATAAACTCCATCAGGAGTAGGAGTCTGTAGCACCAAACACACAGAGATCCAGAACTTCCACAACAGCTGCTTCCAAAGTGGTACTAAGATCTAAACTCTACCTTTCCACCCACCACATGCAGAATACTTGTACCATTTAACTGGGTGGATTAGGGCAACTCCTAACCTTCAACAAAAAAAATACAGACAACAATTAATTTAAAAAAAACCAAAAAAACAACCAAACAGCCATTGTGAGAATTAAAACTTTTATTAGTGTATTCACATATTAGGCAAATGCAACACGCATGAAGCTTATCTCTTAAACTCACAAGTTCTACCAATACATTAGTCTACTGGTAAAACTAGCACAAACTGGTAACTGCTTTGCCAATTTTTGAAAGGTGTCTGGCCCATTTTCTCAAGGCTTGATTTTTTGGTATTGCTTCTATGCCCTAGTCATTATGGCATAAAAATATCCATCACTACCATCAATTCAGTCAAGTGATTAAAAGCTGTAACACTGGCCACATTTTTGTTCTCGAAGCTAAGTTATCACTAGCTGTACTTACAAAGTACAGAACTAGTGTAATTGATGAAACAATGGAAAAAAACAGACAAAGGCAATCCTGCTACTGCCACAATAACAAAAGAATGACAGACAGCTAGATCACAAGATTGTTAGTAAGATGTGTATTTTTCAAGTCAGAATAACCCTTCTATACAGTTTCCCAACCCAGCCCCAACCCAGACTTATTTGTAGAATATATTTCAGAATATTTTTAATATGGTGCAGCTGTAGTGTCCAAGGGTTCACAATAACATGCACTGTCATGAAGAACCTGGAAGTCCTCCTTCGCTGGTCATACCTCAGCAACCACTATTCTAGAGGTTTTGCAGAAGCAACTACTTTTAATAACAAGGCCCATTATGACATAATGAATGCGTATGATCTGGTGTGTAAGTAAACTATAAAAGCGACTCAGATAAGAAATTTAAATTCTGTTACTGAAATATGTTAAGAAGCTGCATCTATTTAAAACCTAAACAAAAAGAGTCTAGCTTACCCCGGGAAATGATTTTTCAAGGTCTACGGCTCCAAAAACTAAACCCCATTATTTTTAGTGACACATGAAAAAATGAAAAAAATACAGATGATAAGGGGTAAGACTTATTCAATGAAAAAAAATACAGATGTAAGGGGTAAGCCAATAACCTTGTGCACTTAATCAAAAATCCAAAGCCATGGTAAATTCTCAGTCCATGAGAAAAACCACTCATTTCAATGATCCAAGGTACAAAAAAAGTCCCAAATTACATCACTGCCAGTAACGCTGCTGGCAACAGATGCATCAACTCAGATGGGTATCAAAAAGCAGACTGCTAGTGTGATGGACACTCAGAATTTGTAATATGAATTCATTTTAGGCCCCATTAAGTATATAAAGTGTCTTAAGACTTCACAGATGAATCTCAAAACATTTCTTCCCCTTCCAATGGAGGGATTTTCTCTTTAAGAACGCAGCAAAAAATTCAGCTTTTCTATAAGGAAAGTCTTTTTATGTTTAGGACAACTTGAAAACCTGCTTATATTAAAAAAATATAAAAGAATAAGGGAGCAAAGTCTTGGAATTTTAAGAGATACCTGCCCCAATCAAAAACCAAAATGGCTGTTTATGGGAACTAAAATGTAGAACAGCACAATACTGTGATATTTGAGATCGTGATACATTATCTGTATATATACTTAGCTATTCATGTTATTGATAACCATTAGGACACTCAATTATATACCCAATAAAAAACACCATTAAAGAGTCTTTAGAACTGTCCCTTCTTTCTGAAGAAGGCTTTTCTATACACTAAATTTTCATCTAGTATCAGAGTATAGGAAACAGAATCCACAAGGTGCTTTAACTGATGAGACCTCAAGTGCTGTTTTTTCTTTTCTTTTTTTTTTCTTTTCCTTTTTTTTTTTTTTTTTTTATTTTTAAAAAACCTTTTTAGATAGTAAACAGTTCATGGGGACCACACACAAATACTACGACAGACGAGCTGTTATATTAAGTCTGTTGACTGGACTCTATTTTTAGCCCACTGGTGACAGAGGAGAGTTTTAGGACATGCTGGAGCAGCGAACTGAAGGGGAGCCCATCTGAGTCAATACTTTGTCCAGCCACTGTAGAGGCCCGTTCAGGTGAAGCTCAATCCAGCAAGGAGTGCTTGTTACCGTCTGCCGCCTAGAAAACAAAGAATAGGGAAAAGTCACTATATTGGGTTGGTGTCACCAGGTTTTGGAAGCAGGGGAGCTTCTGCCAGAAGCCTCCTCCATGTCTGGCAGAGGTATCCTTTGGCAGCTCCAAAGATGGATGTGATGTTGGTCAAGGCTGGGCCAGCTAGGAATGGTGATGCCTCTGGGATAAAATATTTAAGAAAAAAAAAATGAGGTTGTTACCCAGTTTTAATTGTGGCCACAGAAGACCAGGGTGAGAACATGTGAGAGGAACAACCCTACAGACACCAAGGGCAGTGGAGAAGGAGGGGCAGGAGCTGCTCCAGGTGCCAGAGCTGAGATTTCCCTGCAGCCCATGGAGGACACAGGGATGCAGAGATGCACCTGCAGCCCCTGGAGGAGCCCACACTGGAGCAGGGGGATGCCTGAGAGAGGCTGTGATCCCTCTGTGTGGAGAGGGGAGCCCACGCTGGACCAGCCTGTCCTTGAGGGACTGTACCCCTTGGAAGAGTGCCCCATGATGCAGAAGTTCATGGGGAATTGTTGCCCATGGATTCACACTGGAGAAGTTCATGTAAAAGCGTCTCCTGTGACAGGGACCTCCATGCTGGAGCAGGGGAAGGACTCCAAGTTCTTTTCCTGAGCAGTAGCAGGAACAACATGTGAAGAACTGACCAAGACACACACTCCTACCTCCCCTTGCAGCTGGGGGAGAAGGTAGAGCTGGCAAGGCGGGGAGGTGTTTTAGTTCTCATTATCTTGCTCTGTTTGTGTTAGCAATAAATTCATTCAATAACTCTGATCAAGCCTGTTTTTCCCACAATGGTATTAGGTGGGGGGGTCTCTCACGGTCCTTATCTCATGCACTTTTGCTCTATTTTCTCTCCCCTGTCCAGCTGTGGAGGGGAGTGAGAGAGATCCTTTGGTGGCTGTCTGGAATCCAGCCAGGGTCAACCCACTGCAGCCAGAAAGCAGGTTCAGCTGCCACAAAATTCTGCATCATGTGATTAAATATGTTTCTATCCATATCTAGTCACAGAGATATAAAAATCTGCAACCATTACCATAACTGTTACTGAACTTTTTCCAGAAAAAAAAAAAGCCCCAGAGCTCCAAAGCACTTCACATATATAAGACACATGAGTAATTACATGTTTGTCCATAATACATCAAGGATATTTCACCTTGGAGAATAACAACACAAGTATTTCCTTCAAGTGCCACACCAAGAGCCTTACTTCTAAAAAGAAATTCAGTGAAGGTTAAAGTGATGCAGAAGACTTCAGAAGTGAAGGCTGTCCAAGTGATGCAGTGTTCACACCACAAACAACTGTGTGCTGCTGTATCTCAACCTTTCAAGAGTCTGCATGCATAAGTGGATTTGAATTTTGTAGGCAACTACTCAGAAATACAGAATAGCAATCCTTGGCTCTGCACTGTCACCATGGACAAACAGCACAACGTTGATGGTGATCATAAGCTCTGGCTTTTTGGAGCAAATGACATGATAAATGTACAAGGAAATCAGCAGATGTCATCAGAAACACTATCAAAACATGGTGTGTGGTTATACTGTGCTAAGTGATGGTATCTCAAAGGAACACCAAACTTTATCTCTTATTTCCTGTAATTTTACACTTCTACATGTGTTTTGAACATGCAACATCCTCACACAAACAACTGAAGTAGAAATAGTGTTTTCCCTTTCTGCTATACTAAGTTGCCTATAATTTTCCACAATAGAAGCCCTTATTTATACATTATATAGAAAACTTCAGTAAAGCTGAACCATAAAGAAAACCATAAAAGCTTCATTCTTTCTCTCATGTACCTTTGTTTCTGAGACCTGTTGTTCAAAACTCTTCCTTCTCATCTCCAAAGTAAAGAAATCAGTATTGAACAAAACAAACTGCCTGAGAAATCCTATTTCACTGTATCCACTCCAGGCATGGGAGTTTTCCCTGACTAGATTGGCAAGATTCTGGTTGCTAAGCCAGTTTTTCCTAGTAATTCCAGCTATCCCAAGATTCAAAGGCAGCAGATTAGTAAGACACAAACCTAGCTCCTTCATTTTTACTGTCAGCACTGCAGCCCTTTGCTTTAAGGAAATCTGTTTATATAAACAGAGGAACTGGAAAGGCAGAGAGATTAAGACAGTGAAGATTGATTTCAAAAGTTTCACATTTTCTAGGAGTGGACAGCAGCTGGGGTCTGTGTTCTTTCAGCACTCTACCAAACAGTTATCTTAGCCCTATGACAGAACAAAGTGATACAACAGAAAAACAAATTTAAACCACAGGAAATACAGTTCCATTTACTCTTGAATCCTCTCCCAAATAAGGAAGTTCATTGTTCCACCACTGTCAACTCCACTACAGTGTGTTTCACAACACACTTCTTCAAAATTTTACAACCGGTTCTGTTCAACAATCCTCACTTTGCACCAGGCTGGTAAAAATTGACAAAATAGTGACAGTCATTGAGCAACCATCTTAAAGCTAAAATCTTAGCTTCTTCAACCACAGATTTCCAGTTCAAAGATCATTAATTACCTCTGCTGAACTTTCTTTAGAAGGTGATCCTGGACCATGAATAACATGAACATTTGACTGGTGATCTGAACTTCTACCATGCCAAATTTGGGCCAACATGTAACAAACCAAAAATCTTTGTTAGGTATTTTGTCTACCAAGCCTATAAAACGTATCATCTTGCCATACCTGCACATTTATGCACATATGCCTAAAATGCAAGTAATGCTTTGCCTTTGCCTAAGCCTGTTCTATGAGAAATGTTTTTTTGGCATAATAATGAAGCACATAATAATGATGTTTTAACAAGAGTGATGGGGTTTACAGTGTTTCCTAGTCCATTTTGACAAGTCAGAACTACATTAATTTAAATTCAAGGTTGTGTCGTCAGTGCCACCTCTTCTTGCTCTAATCCCAACTGCAGCATATTTACAGGCTTTGTGTATCAGTAATTTATTAGCATCACCTTAAAGAGAGGTGCAAAGAAATTAGTTCAGCATGAGTCAGTAACCAGTTTTTGTGCTATTTTGGCAATGCTACCACTGCAGCTTTTTCAATCCTATGGTCTACAAACAGCTTATAGATCAGCCACCAACATTCTCCCCACTCAGAAGTAACTTTAACAAAAGCCTCCCCACAGTTTTAAATGAGCACTTACACTGCTTACTTCAAGGTGCCTCTACATAATCTGACTGATTAAGCCTTTCTTCTGCTCAGATTTGAATGTTGTATTTAATTATGCCTAAGTGTATACATACTCCTTCAGAGCCAAATCCAATAGCTCTTTAAACCTGAGCCAGATTTTTTCCTGTGTAGCTCTTCCTAACAAAGAGGTACCAATTTATTCCATTACTCAAATTTCTCATTAGACTATTACAAAATTGGCTTCATTTAGCTGAGAAACCTCCCCCACATTCTGACACTGCTATTTACATGTATGTATTTCAAGAGTAGGCAAAGGAATCAACACAAGAGGAGCCTACATATCATTATTCAATTTCAGAAATGGTATAGCTTAAAAAAAAATCATTATGTATTGCATTAGGGTATTGACATGTCAGACTTCATTCTTTCAGTGGACAATTTCTAGAGAGGTTTAAGAAATTTGTTTAAAACCACAGCCCTAGCTCTCTAAAATAATGAAATCTTTAAAACTGCTCAGTTAGAAGTCAATTCCTCTTCTTCTTGAATTTCCATACTACATTGAAAACAGGCATTGTCCTCAACTAAAGCTTTTCATTTGTGTTAATAGAGAACACAATTGGAATCTATTCAAAAGCAGATAGAATGCTATTTTTTTCCACTCAAAGAACTGTTTTTAGAAGTTTTATTACATAAACAGAGTCCTCTTACTGTTTCTTGCAAAGCTTTTTCCACTGCCAGTTCCAAAATACTTGCCATCCCTTAGTTCCCCAGCTATTTCATTCTGCAAGATGCACTGCAAGTCTCTCCACTGGGTACCATCCTGAGCCACAGCCTAAGGAACTCATGCTACATGCAGAACAGGATAGAGACCAGAATGACTGCAAGTCTAACAAATAATCTCACAGCACCAACTGGAAACTCCAAGATGATGTTGCAGATTTCACCACAACATGCAAGCCAGCAGGGCTGAGCAAGGGAACAGAACTTTGACGACATTCCTTGCTCAACAGCTGGCTTCAATGCAACACTAGGAACAGTTTATGGACTTTATAACTTAGCAGTTCCATAGCTGAACGGGGGAAAATAGCGAAAATATGGGTTCAATTTTCAGGAACAATATCCACAATAGCAGCAAGAAGTGTGTATGAATGGCTTTCAAGCCAGACAGAAATGGTACTAGTGAAAGAACAAAAAACTATTAATTCCATATTTAAGAACAAAGGGTTTTCTTTTCTTACCTGTATTCAGCCCCCCATCCTTTAACAAAGCTCATTCTTATGGTACACATTCTAGTAAGCTGATAAACTGCTTCAAAGCCCTGATTCACAGATTGAGCCAGAAGAGCAGCAAATTCTTGGTTATTAAAGATTTTTAGATTGCATCCTATAAAGAAGTCAAAAAAGAAGTCAGTGAATACACTTGCGTTTGCTACACAGAAGCCTGAATCTATGAAGGTATTACAAAAAAATGGAAGTAAATGTCATTTAGTGAATTCCTCCATGGGTATTTTCACACGAGACCTTTGGTAGGATACCAACCTGGCGGAATTTTGCACACAGTTGCAGGATGCCAGCCATATCTTTGATTACAGTTGGGGCTCTGAACAAAGATCGCGCTATCACTCAGGCACTCGGCAAAAACTTCTCCACCAATGTAATACAGACGCACTCCCCTGCCTGCAGTAAAATCCAAAGGAACTCTTGTTATGGTATGACACAAGCAGATTGGGGAACAAGGGAGTTTACTTTTCAGAGAAGACCAAGGTTTTTCTTTACAACAGAAACAGAAATCAATTATCTACAGCATCTCACTGCTGTGCTGACAGCTGTAGCAGGAGCAGAACACAATTAAATTGCATTTTTCTCCCACAAATGCAGAATATAGGAAGGAAAAGCAGAATAATATTTGGTCAAAAGTGAAAGAGCCTTTTCCAGCCATATAATGGCTTGTAACCAAATCCAAGCTCAGAAGCAGTATTCATAAAAACAGAATTATAACTTGTGCCAATATTAAAGCATTGTATGTGAAGCAGCACAGGCCACTATGGTCAAAAGAGAAAACACAAGATCACCACTGCAACACTCTCTGCTTGCATGCACCCACACTATTTCACAACCCACTGCATACCCTGTACTGCTTTAACAAAAACAGTATGACTTCATTTAGCCCTATTAAAAAAAAAAACCAACTGTGAAAAAAACCCCTCAATTGTCCACCTTTAAATTGTTATTTTGTTCTGTTTCTCTGAGTGGAAAACAAATCTGTGTGGTTTATTTCTAGCAGAAAGTAAATAATGTGTACTTTATCTCCCAGAGAGAACTATTTATAATTAAAAGCTACTTTATAGGCGATAGTTTCCATTCGCCTTTTTCGTTAAAACAATTTTTCTAACAAAATGTGAGCTCCTCTATTAAAGAATAAGGGCTCATGAGATTTTTGTTTTTCCTCATCATTGATCATTTTGACCAGTCAGCAGAGGCACAGCCTGGGTTTCCACACATCTAAAATTTCATTAGACAAGCATTTGGATTTGACATTTGGACTTGGCATAAAAGGAGTTGGTTCTACAGAAGAGGCTTAAATTTCACTGCAAGTGAAAACAACAATGAAAATATCTTGTAAATGTTGCTAATAAAAGTATCCAGGGAAGAAAAAAAAAACAACAAAGAAGGTAGTTTACTGAAGAACCCAAAGTCAGACACTGCATTGTGGACAACAATATTCTTGACTAACCATTACAAAGAAAATCTTAATGACATCAAAACAATGTGTTCTCAATAGCAACTTTTCCCATTTTGGAAAAGAATTCAGAATTTCATCCTATCAATTCTGTATTTTATAAACTACAGTAAATTAAGCAAGATGGGAGTATTTTGCAAATAAAGCTTGAATTTCAATTACAAGCAACTCTGAATATAAATGCTGCCCAGGGCAGAGTGGCCCACTGAGGAGCCTGGGGGCCATGAACCTGTCCCCGGGATGCTTTGGTGCACAAATTTGGTCCATAATTTTCCAGAAGGAAAGAACAGCAATGTGAGCTACAGGATTGCCACACAGTAGAGTGGCTCCTCCTGTGCTGCCCTTAGTGCAACAGCCATGTGACTGCAGCTGGCACCAGCTCTGGGGCTACTGAGTGAGGAAAGGCAGCGCCTTTCAGCTCATCACTACATCTCCTCCCAATTCAAGCTAGTGGCAGGGGCTGCTACATTTCTCCCTAATTTCAGAAAGAGTGACTCTGTGTCTTTCCACTTCTGTTCTCAGCCAGAGAGACCAAACAATCCTTGACAAGCCCTGAGAGATAGGGCTGATGGCTGGCTGCACAAAGGTGAAAGGAATCCAATACACATCCTACCTAGGTCATTCCAGATAATTTAACCAACAAAATGAAATTAAATAGTTAAAAGATCAGAGATCTTTACCTATATGTCGCCTTGTCATTTCCACTGTAGCATTTCTGTTTACATTGGAAAGCAGACCTAGACAAAATCGCTCTGAATTTGATGGATCTGTAAAGCCATCTACAGTCAGGGAAGGCTGAGACGCATGGAAGGTTTCTCCCACTCTTTGATTCAATTCATAATATGCTATTGAACACCAAAACGCAGGCTCCGAGTAAGTAACTGGTTGCAAGTCTAAAAAAAAATTTTAAAAACCAAGCTTAACACAAATTTTGAGGCTGAAAGTAGATCGATCTACTCTGCTATTTGTCTATCCCAGAAATGACAGCAGTAGTCTCCTCAGAGTACTCAAACTATATTTTGCTTGCTGTCCTTTTTACCTACTTCAGTAAACAGAATGGAATTCAATCTTCCACACAAGGGAAGGAGGAGGGGAAGAAGGGGTGATCTAATCTGACCACAGCTCATTGAGTTCAGTACTTGCATTTTGCTCGGCAAAATGATTAAGCTAATGGTGCTCTGAGCACCAGTCTTTGAGACATTCCTGTTGCCTTTTCTGTAGCTTGCAAGTATATTGGCAGCATTAAAGAAAACATTAAACTATCAAACACTGAACAACAAAATGAAAAAAAAATATCACATTCTCTTGTATTACACTGTCTCTTTAGATAAAAGATAGTTCTAGGCTACTTTATTGTCCCCTACCAAAGTATCTTCCCTGTGTATCCTCAGGTTTTTACTTCATTGCTTCCCCTTTTTACCTACCCTAATTACTTACTCAGCGCTCTGCATTTTCCTGTCACATCCTGTCACCATTCCTTAAACAAACCCATGGCAATCTGATCTTCCTGAGGCACTTACACAGACACACAGCAATAGCACTGGATCAAAGCAGGTGGGCTACTAATGTGGGAGCAACAACTGTGCTGTGATTACAGGTGAAACAGTACATGAGAAGAGCAGCAGAACACACACACAAGGAAGACAGCAAGTCTGGGCAGCATTACAGACAAGCAAACATCTTTTAAACTATTAATTTTATAAATGCTATTCCTGCACACACAAATATATCACTCTCTTTGCTACGAGCTCAACAAGTACAGAAATAGAGTAATTGTTAACAAGTGATTAACCCAGCCCCATTATATTTAACACCAGGAAGCCAACCCAACAGTCACCTCTTAATATAGCTCTTAATTTCTTATAGTGCATTTTCACTTTTAAAGTAATTACATATATAATGAAGAGTCACTACAAATGAAGAAATAATTGTAAGTATTTCCAGCTTACCCAGGCTATGATTAACTGGAGAGAGAGTACTAGGAGACAGCTCTGCTGGAGATCCTGTTGAAGCAAGACAGACAGGTTTCAGAGCAAATGGTTTTTGTTATTTCAGATCAGTAAGCATAACCATTATCTAAATCAGGTTTACACTGAAGTTTTTCAGAGTAAGAAACCTCAGTTTTCTGGAATATCACACACTTACTCTGAATTATGATTTCATTCAATTTTCCAGACTTCTGGATACCCACCCCTCCTTGTAAAGATTCAATTAACTTAGCGTTGTATTTGGCAGACCTCTGCCACTTCGTGCACACTCTCAACGTTATTTATGCACTTCTCCAGTGAGAAGGTAGTGACTTCCCAAATTCACTAAAAAAGCAGATAAGAAAGAGTGGATAAGACAAGCAAACACATTGCCTTTTGGTTCTCAAAGGAAAACTTTTATCTTTGAAAAAACCTTCCAGTATCTGAAGGGAGCCTTCAAGAAAGTTGGAAAGGGACTGTTTACAAGAGCAGGTAGTGACAGGACAAGAGGGAAAGGCTTCAAACTGAAAGAGGAGAGATTTAGATTAGATATTGGGAAAAAAATCTTTATGTTGAGGATGGTGAGGCCCTGGCACAGGTTTCCCAGAGAAGCTGTGGCTGCTCCATACCTGGAAGTGTCCAAGGCCAGGCTGGACAGTGCGGGGAGCAACCTGGGGTAGTGGAAGGTGTCCCTGGTGGAAAGAGACGGTCTCTAAGGTCCCTTTTATCCCAAACCATTCTATAATTTATGATTCTATGATCGCCAGAAAAGAGCAAGCTAGATTTCCTCATTTGAGGAAGTATCTTTCCCTGAAGGAGGAATTTAAAAACTCCATGAACCCTCCAACAGTTTGCACACAAGGTGGCAAAATACAGAAAGGCTTTCACAGAAACATTCCTACAGTGACTGCTGATGTCAGGCTGTTTTAATTAAGGTATTTATTGTCACACAGTGAGAAAATATTGAGGTTCTTACAGAAACTGGTGCAGCTGATTACAACTTACTGAAAATGGTTGCTAACATTAGCTAACCAAGCACACTTAAGGCTGCCAACACACAGCAGGAGGTTCTTACCCAGCACATTAACCATGCTTTGTCCAAATCTAAGGTCAACCACATTATCTAGAAACCCTTACATAAAAGGGCACAAATGCTGCTACCTTTGCCACAAAGCCTTCCACACAAAAATTAATTTGAAATACGGCAGTAGTGGTAAGTTTGTCAGTTAGAGACAGGTTCTCAGAACACAGATTGTCTCTAACTTGTTTAGGCCAACAGACATTGTGCTTCAATGAACCTGTTTACTGGGTAATGGTTGAAAGCAATTAGCTATTAAAATCTATTTTAAGGGTTTCTGGTGAAGTCTTAATTAGACTTGCATACTTCTGTTACAGAACAAATGTAATATACTTAATATGTCACAGAATGTTTTAAAAGCATTTCCCTGGAAAAAATTGTTTTGTTCATTAAAGACTGAAAGTGATATTTTAGGCAGAAAACACCACGTTTTAAAGAGGAAAACTGCCACCATCTTTTGGGCTCAATTCATGCTCCTATGCAGAGGTATCACAGCTAGTAATACAAAACCTTGAAAGTAATGAAAAATAAATGCTACCTGTATCCATGCTTTGGTTCAGCTGCTGGTCACTTGTTTCTCCATCTTCACTGATATATCCTGGAGGAGGTGTTTCTATAAAAAAGAAGAAAAATCCACTGATTTGTAAAATGACTAGGGAACCTTCTCTAAGATATAATTCTTGTGCATTTTGTCATGACATCTTCGTGAGCTCTGTAACACCTGAACACTGAATCTGAATGTCATTTTGATGTCCCTTTTTCCTTCAAGTAGAACTTCAAATATGTTACCTGCCTTATTGCTACGTATCTTCTTCTGTATGTCAGTCAATTGCTCAAATATGTTATATAAATACCAGAATCCTTGTTTGTTCCATTTAAGACAAGATGCTGTCACTACAATGAGTAACAATTTTGCAATTGCGATCAACAGCTTTCATATTTAGTAAAATTACAAATGAAAAAAACCATCTGCTGATTTCCACAAAAAAATAATATGAGCTGTCTTTATGTAGGATAACCATCAGGTCAGATACCCTCCCACACCTTACTGAAGTTGTTAGATTTAAAGGTTGTTTTTCAGCTCAGTGCCCAAATACATATTTCTTCAATACACAACAGTTGATTTGACTCATTTATAACTATATTAACTTAGAACACTGCACAAGTTCTATTATAATTACTACTAACACATCTAAGCTGTATTAAAACTATAATCTATTCTTTTAACTAGCTTTCTTTAAAGACAAGAGTTTCACAGACCAAAGTAAATTCAGTACCAACTTTGAAGCGTTCTGATACCAGAAACTGTGTCGAATTCCTCAGAAATATCTTCAAAACACAGGAGTGTATGCATGTTCCTCTTCTCCATTCAAAATGTTCTTTTGTAATCCAGATAACGAGTTAAACAACTGCCTTTCAGGAAATAATTTTCTTTGAACTGGGCAAATGTCTTTTCCTACATATTAAAGGCAAAACCTGTGTTTTTTTTAGTGAAGGTGTTTGAAGCTAACTATCTCTACAATCACCTTAGATTTGTCTCTGAAACTTCCAGGGGTTAAACACCTTTAATTACATTATTACCAAATAGCAGAAATTTAAAGATAAAGCTTTTTGACTTAAGAAATAAAATTATAATAAGCATCATGTCTAAGATGTACTGCAATGTTGTGAGATCAGAAGAAAACCAGTGAGAGGAAACTAGATTAAGTCAGTTGATTAAATTAAAATGAACTGAGAGAATTTTATCTTTGATTCATTCTGTGTGCTAAATATAGATGTGACAGAATTCAAGTGAGAATTTAAAAGGACAATTAAGGGAAATCTTCACTAGGTAAGAAATAAGATAACAAAAATCATACCCATTTTGAAAATTTTTACAGCATCCATTGCAATAAAGGGAACTCCACCCTTCTCCAAATCCTTAGCTATAGTTAAGCCCACAGCTGTGGCAAAATGTCTGTACACTTCCAATCCAACCCATGACTCCTGTTTCCAGTTGCTAATCTAGGCTCTTTGGCACAAATTATTTTCCATGTCTAGTCTCTGCCTGAACAGAGAAAATTTACTCCACCTAGTACTGTTAATAGTTTAGGGTCAGAGGTTGAGCACCACACAGCTGGAAATGAACACTCAGGTGAGGCACTAAAAATTGGTAATAGAGCTTGAGTGCTGCCAGAAGTGTGGCCAATGCAGTTCAGCCCATCCAGAACTTGAACTGAACACGCAGCTCCCAAAGGCCACCCAGCACCTTCATGACCACCAAGCTCTCTTGCAGATCAAGTACTGAGACAGGACTGAGGTATAAAGCTTCCAGATGTGAGCCTGCCCTACCACTGAAGAAAATGGTTCTCTGATGAAGGCTCTCTCAAGGCACACAAGGCTTATCAGAACCCAAACAAGCATTCCAGATTAAGCCAGCAAGGTCTAACAAAGTAAGATATCATGATATGAGCACAGGAGGACGCTATTAGTGACAAAGAGGAGGAGGTGTGGTAACCTGCATAAACATTTGAAGATCATGTGAATTCCTAAAATCACCTTGAGCAAACTTCCTGCAAATAACTAGTTTGGCTCATTTCCACAGCACTGGATTTGGAGAAGGTGGCTATTTGCAAATGTTATCAAAAGCCCTCAGTGTGAGTCAAGAAAGTATACAGAAGTTAAGAAAGCAACACCAACTTCTAGTGCCTTAAACTGCTCTATAAACATGGCAACAGATGTGGCTAAAATTAAACAGAAAGGTCAAATTAATTGATTGTTTAATGCCATTTCCATTCTCGGATATATTTAAAGAAATCACAAGCAACATTCCGCTTTAGACCTGTAGGTACAATTTGTACATTGCACATATTGGAGTTTTGGGGCAGTCATCTCATTCTTTCAGAGACTCCAGATGTGAATTTTCAGCTTATTTGTAACATGAATGCATTAAACATTTATGAGCAAACCTCAGCTTTACTTGGTTTTACACTCCAGGCGACTTCCTGAAGAGATAGGAAACAGGAAGTTGGGGCAGAAAGGAAAAGGTCACTGATTTTATATTTCGATGAGGGTAACAGGGTATTGGGTGCAGCAGATTAGCATTGTTGTTTGTTCTGGGGTGGAAAAAGGGGCAAAGAGGGGGAGGAGAAATTCTTTAACAGTTCAATATTGTTGTTCTTTCATACTAAAAAGACAAAACAATATGCATACAATAGTAACAAAAAGCTAAAGCAGACCACTATTGATGTGAACTACAGATCAAGACACTTTTTAAGCCACTTTGCAACTTAAATTTTTTTCTCCACATATTACATAGTATGAGATTGAGCATCAGTTTATTACTCAACCTCCAATGCACAGCATTTGGCAACCCCTGTATGTTTGTGAAAGAGGATTAAGGCATAAGGTGAAGATCTACTTTGCACTTATTAGCATTCTGAATCTCAAATAAGCTACTGAAACCAAGAAAGCTATTGTGAAATGACAGCAGTATGGTTTCATGCATAATCATGTTCTGCAAACAACAGTGTTTAGGTATTTCCACTGGAATTAATACACAAAATCAACTAAATCTAATTTAGTGGTGCATAGTTCAATTAATTTGATCACTTACAAGGATGAAATGACCATCTTTGTACCAGTGGCACAGTGTCAAAACATGCTGTCTACAGTGGGAGTTAAGAAAATACCTGGTATGTAATTGCTCTGTGGTTCAATCCCAGCTGGAAAGTTAGTGTTCTCAGGAATGGAATGGGTATAGTCATCCAGAGGTGGCAGCTCCGTTAGGATCTCAGTGTGCCGCGGCACGAGCACGGGAGGCAAGACTGGAAAGCCAAAATTCAAAATCACTGGTAATCAAAATGCACGAGTTTTTGGGCTAAAATTAAAAAAATAAATCTAAAACATCTACGAGTTTCTTCAGATGTTGTGAAATCTTCTGAAACTTAGCACTGCTAATAATACATTTGCACAGCTAGTTACTGGAAGAGATGGGATTCCTGAGGTGCCTTAAATAAGACTATTCCACAACAGGAAAAGTAAATCAATTTTTTTGCCTTATTCAATCTGAATTGCACCTGGCCAACTGGAAACTGCTAGCAGTCCTATAAGTGTTTATAAAGATATTTTTAAAGATCTTTCAGTATCTTTACTATTAAAAACTTTCAGGGATATGATCTCAAAAAGAATCTTCTATCAAGAGAGGACATCGCTTTTCTCTTATTTTTCATTTAAAACATTATGCTGAACAAACACAGATGCTGTCACAGAAAGCCAGAAGCAGCTCTCCTACCTGGTGTCTCCACTCTCTGGTAGTGGTAAGGGTTTACACATACTTCATCCTTTTTAAGATTAAAAGCATATTCACAGTTTTCAATTGCCTTAAGTTCATGGTGGCTGTGAAGGTCTGGCCAGCGCCAGAGGCGGCAGTAAATGACATGTGGCAATCCCTTGCGGTGAGACACCTGCAGACGGCCATCGAGAGATCTGCAGGGGAAAGACGTTGAGAAGCATTTACAGACTGCCTCGATCACTCTAGAAACAGAGTACACACACGGGCAGCTCATTCTCAGCATTCAGTGCGTTGACTCTGCTAGTGACATTTATACTCTAGTTAAAAGGCTTCAAATGCAATGAAAATGATTGTATCAAGCAATGTCAACTCATTTTTGAGCTGCTCAAATTAATGCCAGTGAATTTAGAGTTCATTAAAAGCCACTTACATCCAACCAAGTATTTAGAATGATTGCTTCATATGATTTTTTTTAAATGCAGAAGACAGTTGTTAAAAATAAAATCACACACTTAAATGGTCCCTTCCACTGCTAAAGGCACCTCAAGGCTTTGCTGTGGCATGGATGCTTTATGGTTTTAAGTGTAAGAACTCCCACAGGACTGCAAATAAGCCTATAAGCAGTCAGCTGCCCAAGTGATCCACATGGCAGTATAACTGCAATGCAAAAAACATGAATGAACATCTTGTAAGGGCTCTACAGTTTATCTTCTTCACTTCATCTGCCTTGCTACCAGCTGAAAATGTTTTGCTAGTTTTAAGACAGACTGCATATGCTTACACAAATGCAGATGTTTATGATTGTTATGGGATGGGAGACAAACCTCAATACACAAATCAAGTAATGTGACATGAAAAAATAAAGACCCTGTTTAGAATTTGCCCACCATTAACTACTGAAGAATTTGCAAACAATTCTTTAGTAGCTCATATCAGAGCCAATTAGCATGATTTAACTGAAAGCTTGTGGCATACAAAGCAGTTTAAACACTTTGCAAAATTAGGTCTAAAGAATTACGTTTTCCAACTTTATTAATATAAATACCAAATCACATTAGAGCTTGCATTTAACAAGTCTTCCCATTCTTTCAATAGCACTGGCATGAAAAACGAATAATTGTAGAATTAAGAGTTTCATTGGTCAAAACATCAGCTGTGAACACACTGATTTCTACAGTGGCAAGGAAATACTTCAAAATGCTGTACTATGAGAGTCCTAGGAATCATTGTAGTCTATTTTATAGCTAAAGCATCCCATTACAGACCCTCCAAAGCCAATCCCTCCCACAAGATTTTTATGATGCGAGAGAGGGCAGAATATTCACCTGGTTTGTTCAGAGAAGCTGTAAAGGCCTGTTGTATCCCACTGATCTATCGTGTTTGGTGTACTCAGTCCCCAAATTTCAGAGCAAGTGCTGTGCATAAATTGAAAACAAAAACAAAAAATTGATATGAATATGGAACATGGTTATTCAAAACACCATGATGTCAAACATGGAAAAATGTACAGAATACTTCCTTTCACATAGAAGATAGAGCACTGTTAGACTGGCATTTAAACTGACATGTCATGCTATATTTTCTATATGAAGGAGGCTATCAAAATGGAACAAGTGATTCAAGGTAAATGATAAATGTTTTTAAAGGTGAACAAGTTCTCAGGTTTTCAGTACTTGATACAGTTGCAATGTTCCTTAAAACAGGCAAAACTTCCTCAGCCTAGTTCTTTACAAAATTCAATTTTAAAAGGTATTTTCTGGGTTGGGTTTGGTGGTTTTTTTGTTTTTGTTTGTTTCTAAACATAAACTGCCCTAAGACTTCAAACAAAAGCCATGTATATCCAAAACCAAACATCACAATCTAAAGTTCATGTACCACCACTACAGCATTAATCTCATTTTCCATGCACACACTAATTTTCTGCTAATCCAAAAAACAGAAACTTAAACTCTGAAGAAAAACACATTATAGCAGATATTTAACTATCTTCTGTACTCTCCTTGATTAAACAGCTAAATATTCTTTCACACAAATATTCAAAACAGAATGTACAGTGTTGAAGATTCAACTATCACGTAACAACTTTAATTGCTAAATCAAGCAGGAGAAAAGGAAAGGCATCTAAGCCTTTAACAAACCGGTTCAAGGAACAGATCACAATGGATCATATACATTCAGTCATAGACACAAACTTAAGCAGAGGCAGATTTAAACAAAGCAAGAAAACAGCATAGGATTGTGAACAGGCAGCAGATTTTCAGAAACATAAATGAAGCTCAGTTCTATAACACACTTGCTCAGTGACCACTAAACAGAACAGTGAAAACATACATTTTATTTTATATAAGTAACATACAACTAAACCTTGCACCTCAGAAATGAAGAGAATTTGGTTCACAAGCAACTTGAATCTCTGCTTCCTAATTATGCAGCCTGAAGTTTGGCTGGCTGCTACACTGCCTTTAAAATTAACAGCCTCTGAAAAGTTGCAGCAGGAAGAATCAAAGGTCACCAAACTTCTGATTTTAAATATAAGTGTTGACTGAAATTTAAATTACCATGTTTAGCCAATAGACTCAAGTTTGGATTGAATGCTTAAGAAAATGAGGTCGCTGTTTTTATTTCTTCTCATTACATGGGAAAAATTCATTAGTGTTACAAAACAAAAGAGCAGATAGCACAACACTGGACTTGAAACCACTTTCAGGACTGACAACCACCTCAATTCCACATTGACTTTTAATAAAACCTAAGGGTTGGCAGCTGGTGAAGGCAATTAATGGGTCTTGCTTCCTTCTTGCCTCTACCACACCTCAATTCTAATGCCATCCCAGTGAGACTGAAATGTGCATGCATGTGAGAAGCAACCCAAATCAATAAACCAAATCTGACCTGAGAAGCAACATGGCTGAAAACACATATTTTGAATTACTTTTCAGTCAAATCACTTCCATTCACTGTAGCTATATGAGCACTACAAAGAAGGTGTATGTAACTGTGGGTGGAAATGACCTGCTTTTATCACAAATAAATATATTAAATAAAATAAGGCCTTTTGATATATTACTGATTATAGGTACAAGTAAAATCTTGTACTAGATGACTTTGCCTAGTAGAGAGCAGCAGAGAGCCAGAGATGAAGGCCCATTCTATGGCACAGATTCTGCTCTTCAGAAAAACCAACCATCCTGAACAAGCTGCATCCACATCAGACTCAAGCAGCATCACAGCTCTCCAGAAGGAGTGGGCAAAGAGGGATCCTGCCCACGGCCGCATCAGCAGGGCCTGCAGCCTCTCTCTTCCACATTCCTAAGATGTGGTCAGAACTGTGGGCTGCCAGAAGCTTCGCAACGATTGAAGTAGTTGCCCTGAAGACACACGGGCAGCCTGTGGGACACCAGGGAGCATCTCTGCTTTGTACTGTGTCCTTAAATACACACCACAACTGCTCGTAAGATAGAGCATCCTGTACATGCAATTAGAAGAACAATCAGCAGATACAAAGCCTGCTGCATATTAATTGACACAGTGAGCTCTGACAGCTCACTACCTTTGAGCACTGGATCCTTCATACAAAGCAGTGCTCCAAAGCTGATGCTGTCACACAGATTACACATTCCCAAAATCATGGGGTGCATCACTGGTGGAAGCATGACATGCCATGCATTTGGTTCACAAGGCTTTTGATACAGCACATGCAAAAGTAATATTTCATAGCCCTTGACAAAACAAGATGAGCATGAACAGTACTTTATATTGCTAACCTCTCCTCTCTGTAAATATTCAAAGCTGACAGCATATTCCACAACCTACAGAAAGACAAACAGTATCCTGAAGCAGACTGTGTGACAGAGCCACAGCTTGGAATGAAGCTCAAAGCACCATGGAGGGTGGCCAGCCAAGGCCAGGAAATACAGAAAAGTGATCAGTCAGAGCAGCAAAACTTCTCCATTCTCCATTGGTTTACATGACACACTATCTTCTGGGATGCATATCTCCTTAGAGCTGGGATTAGTATTAGTGTTTTATTTTTTCATCTACACCATGACTATACTTAAACTCCAATAATGCACAATCAAACACAGAAGAGCGAGCCTGCAGGAAATCATTCCATATGATCAATGAAGTCAGCTCAACAAAGCTTTTACTGTTTGCTGGTAGAAACGTCAAAAGAAATAAAGAGGTTTCTCTACTTCCTGCTGACATAAAAGGTCCATTGCCTACAAGGTGCAAGATCGTCCCCTCCTCACGTCACCCAAGCAATAAATCAAGACTCTTAAAATTCACACACACGCACACCAGATCAAAACTAAATTCCTCACAACCCTAAAATCCACACTTCATACACAGTAATTCCATGAAAGGCAACAGTATGTTCATTCATACACAAGTCATCACCTGACAGAGGGCAGGCATGTCTACTCATCCCTGAAAGGTGGTGCTAAAAGCCGACTGAATTCTGAAAGATGTTTTAACCAGCACTAAAACCATCTGAAAGTAAGACAGGGGGTACAGATTTTTAGTAGTGCAAAACTACTGCCTCATATTAAACAGGAATCACTCACTCCTAAATCTACCTTTCTGAGGCATCCAAAATCCTGTGTGATACAAAGAGTCCCTTCCATGCCTGTGATACAAAGAGTCCCTTCCATGCCTCAGTTCATAAAGATTTCAGGAGAATAAAGTACTAACATCTGTCCTCTTAAGTCAAGCCTTGTCTGGACATATTCCCAGGCCCTGGAACACAATCACGTGTGCTAGAAAGCAGCTAGGACATTCCCCAGCACCAGGCTGTGCCAATTACTGTTCTCCCACACAATTCCCAGGTTTGTGAGTCTCACAGCACTGGGACCCGCTCACACTGGACAATTCAGATGCAACTCCCCTGCTCTGCTAGCTAAGAGTTGAAGAGAATGGACAAAGCAGTCCTGAGCCAGTTGGACAGTGACCGGGAATGTTCCCAGGCACGTTTAATTTATTAGGAGGGAGGCAGCCAAAATGTATCACCATTTCACCTTTGGTAACCACTCAAGCTGAAGCCTGGAAGTCTGGAAACACACTTCAGGCTTTGTATTTTACCAAACAAGGGGGTTTGGTTTTGAACTCGCTGTACACTGTTATCACTGGTAAGCCACCATCATTTTCAAAATATAATTTGGCTTCTGTGTTGCTGTACATAAATCTTTTCTGTGCAGACAGTGTTTAAATATACTCCAAAACACAAGTTCAAAGCTAATGTACTTCCTCTCTCCTGGACACTTTCATTCCAAAGAGTATTTTCACTGCTGTTCTCTAAACAATTTGTTGACAGAAACAAGTCAACATGTGGTCAACAATACAAAAGCTAGTTTTTTATCTTTTCAACACTTTTCAACAGTAGCTCCCAACAGCAAATCACCATGGCCTTTAGCACTCCATGCTTGAAGATTTTGAAGGGACTCTAGGGATATAAAGCACTAATCTGGCGTAGTTTCCCAGGTGATGTGGAGGTCTAACAAGAGAAAACTATTTCCTAGTGAAAGGAGAAAAGCTGAAAAACTCTTTGCAAGGAATAAGAACTGCTCTTTAAGACCCAGGTACTTTGAGGGAAAAGTCCAAATCTAGCAGGTATGTGGTTAAGCTGCTACACACCAAACCTGGAACAACTGGGGTTTGGGAATCTTTAGGACTGACCAGAGGAATGATGTGATAAAGCAAGGACCAGACAAGTTCACACATGGTGGAATCAAACCTACTTCTGTCAGAATCTTTCCTTGAATGGAAATGGTTGTAAGAGCTGGTGTTTAAACCTTTTTATCTGCTTATGAGGAGCATCATCTCATATGATACTGTGCATTTCTGGCAAGAAGACTCTTTAATGTGGCTATCATCATGCAACAGTACACAGCATGCCTTCACTTCTTCCATTTCATCATTTCCTTTAACAGGAAAATCTGAGTTCCAAAAAACCTGTACTCTGGGCAAAAAATTACCTACACAGCAATGAGCTGTAGCAAGGCTTCACAATTTTCAGCCAAAACGCCAAAACTGACTGTCTTTATTCAGTAAGAGAGAAAACACTGACATGCACAAGAAAAATGTGGACACAAGAAAACCCCAACTACTGAAGATAATCTGAAAGTATTTGTATTGCCTTATCTACATGACACGGATGATGTTCCCAGTCATTACTCCACTATCTAAGTGGAACAACAGCTAACTGTAAGTCTACTACAAAAACTGGACTATCAAGTCCTGGAAACTCAGATCAATTATTGATCTGCCCATGACAAATGAACATGGACAAAGCACAGTTTGTGCTACACTCATAAGTAAGCAATAAAATTGCTTTAATGTAGTGTATTTCTACCAGAGGAATAATGTCCCTATCAGAATCTATAACAAAAAAAACAACCTATATGAATGAAATAGTTTG